AAAGCTGGTACCTGGGCATTAGACAAGCATTCAGACTGAGGTCAGAGGAGCCAATTTCAGGAAAAGACTGCGGGGACCCAGCATAGCATCCTGATGTCATGCACACAACAACAACATAATAATACAGTGGTACCTCTAGATGCGAACGGGATCCGTTCAGGAGCCCCGTTCGCATCTAGAAGCAAATGTAACCCATGTCTGCGTGTGCACGGGTCACGTTTTGGCGCTTCTGCGCATGCGCGTGACATCATTTTGAGCATCTGCACATGCGCAAGTGGCAAAACCCAGAAGTAACGCGCTCCGTTACTTCCGGGTTGCCACAGAGCACAACTCGAACACGCTCACCTCGAAGCACATTCAACCCGAGGTATGACTGTAATAATAATAATAATAATAATAATAATAATAATAATTTATTATTTATACCCCGCCCATCTGGCTGAGCTTCCCCAGTCACTCTGGGCAGCTTCCAACAAAATATTAAAATACAGTAATGCATCAAACATTAAAAGCTTCCCTAAACAGGGCTGCCTTCAGATGTCTTCTAGAAGTCTGGTACAGTGGTACCTCTGCTTATGTACTTAATTCATTCTGGAGGTCCGTTCTTAACCTGAAACTGTTCTTAACCTGAAGCACCACCCCTGCGCGATTTCTGTTCTCATCCTGAAGCAAAGTTCTTAAGCCGAGGTACTATTTCTGGGTTAGTGGAGTCTGTAACCTGAAGCGTATGTAACCCGAGGTACCACTGTAGTTGTTGTTCTCTTTGACATCTGGTGGGAGGGTGTTCCTCATGAGGAACATCACGAGGTGCTGCAGGGTGGAGCAGAATGTAGAGGCAGCGCAGTCCCAGCAGCTGGAGGCCGCTGTCCTCCCCTTCCCCCTGTCACGCAAGGGGAACATGGGGGAAGCTGCCCTTGACATGTGGCAGGAGGAGGAGCCACCAACCACTGAAGACAGACCATGCCAGGCTCCGCGTTCACCCTCCTCTGCTCTCTGAACAATGGGGGAGCCCAGCCCCTTCAAACACAAAACACAGGGGGGGTCCAAAGTCGCTTGGTCCCTAAGAGTTGGTGCCTATGCTAAGGCTATTATTCATAGAATCATAGAATTGTAGAGTTAGAAGGGACCCCAACGGTCATCTAGTCAAACCCGCTGAAATGCAGGAATCTCGGCTAAAGCATCCATGACAGATGGCCATCCAGGTAAAGGTAAAGGTAAAGGTACCCCTGCCCTTACGGGCCAGTCTTGCCAGACTCTGGGGTTGTGCGCTCATCTCACTCTATAGGCCGGGAGCCAGCGCTGTCCGCAGACACTTCCAGGTCACGTGGCCAGCGTGACAAGCTGCATCTGGCGAGCCAGCGCAGCACACGGAACGCCGTTTACCTTCCCGCTGGTAAGCGGTCCCTATTTATCTACTTGCACCCGGGGGTGCTTTCGAACTGCTAGGTTGGCAGGCACTGGGACCGAACGACGGGAGCGCACCCCGCCGCGGGGATTCGAACCGCCGACCATGCGATCGGCAAGTCCTAGGCACTGAGGTTTTACCCACAGTGCCACCTGCGTCCCCGATGGCCATCCAACCTCTCCTTAAAAACCTCCAAGGAAGGAGAGTCCACCACCTCCTGAAGGAGACTGTTCCACTGTCAAACAGCTCTTAATATCCGAAGGTTTCTTCTGATGTTTCTTGTCACCTGAAGCCATTGGTTCGAGTCCTACCCTACGTTTCCGAGCACAATTCAAAGTGTTGGTGCTGACCTTTAAAGCCCTAAATGGCCTGGGTCCAGTATACCTGAAGGAGCGTCTCCACCTCCATCGTTCTGCCCGGACACTGAGGTCCAGAGCCGAGGGCCTTCTGGCGGTTCCCTCTCCGCGAGAAGCCAAGTTACAGGGAACCAGGCAGAGGGCCTTCTCAGTAGTGGTGCCTGCCCTGTGGAACGCCCTCCCACCAGATGTCAAAGAGAAAAATAACTATCAAACTTTTAGAAGACATCTGAAGGCAGCCCTGTTTAGGGAAGCTTTTAATGTTTAATAGGTTATTGTATTTTAGTGTTTTGTTGGAAGCCGCCCAGAGTGCCTGGGGAAACCCAGCCAGATGGGCGGGGTATAAATAATAAAGTATTATTATTATTATTATTATTATTATTATTATTATTACCCTCCAGAACAGCAGAAAACAAGCTTGTTCCCTCTTCCAAGTGGCCGCCCTTGTGATATTTGAAGATGGCTGTCTTATCTCCTCTCAGTCTCCTCTTTTCCAGGCTAAACATACCCAGCATCTTCAACCGTTCCTCATAAAGTTTGGTTTCCAGACCCTTGATCATCTTGGTCGCCCACCTCTGCACATGTTCCAGCTTGTCAACATCCTTCTTAAATTGTGGTACACAGAATTGGACACAGTATTACAGGTGTGGTCTGACTCACTGAACTTAATCAACCTAGTTTAGTCATGTTAATGAATTCCAGTAGTTCTTTGCTGAGTGAAAGTTGGTTGAATACCACCCTGAATGTTTACTGGTTTTTTTCTGTTTTCGGGATCCAGAACATGGGTGCCTGGAGAGAGTCCTGAGAGCCAGAAAGAGATCATGGTGGGCCATACTGTATTTGTCCCCCAGACTTGAGATTCCTCATCTCTTTCCACATTTTTTGACAGCAGCTCTTCAGGATTTCAAGCAAGGTGTCAACATTTTCAAAACCAGACTACAGTGGTACCTTGGGTTAAGAACTTAATTTGTTCTGGAGGTCTGTTCTTAACCTGAAACTGTTCTTAACCTGAAGCACCACTTTAGCTAATGGGGCCTCCTGCTGCCGCCGTGCTGCTGGAGCACGATTTCTGTTCTCATCCTGAAGCAAAGTTCTTAACCCGAGGTACTATTTCTGGGTTAGCAGAGTCTGTAACCTGAAGCGTATGTAACCCGAGGTACCACTGCAGAACGTTTCAGGAGACAAATTGCCACATAATGCAACATTTGTGCAAAATCAGGGAAACAGAGTCTTGCCTAAAAGAGTTGTGAATGTTAATAACAACAACAAAAGCTTATAGCCGAGAAGTGGAAGGAGAAAACATGTACCTTGGCAAGAAGAACGTCTTTTGAAATTGCAGTTGTGCTATGGTGCAAGATGTCTGCATCATTGCTTTAACTGCATGTAACCTGGATGGAATCATAAAACTAGGAGAATTTGGATGTTATAGAGATGCAGGGAAGAAACAGCAGAGAAAGGGAGGCTGGGAAATTCATTCACTCTATATCTGATGCTCAAGGCTGAGTGCTGTGCTTATGCAGCCAAAACAGCAGCACCCACAATACCAGCGGGAGATATCAGCTGGCTTAGGGAAAACCTCAAAGTTTTCAGATGTACAAACAGGGTAAAGGCAAACCAAATGGGAGGAGGAATGGTGGATCATGCAGGAGGGCAGAACTGGATGACTAGAATAGGGAACTGAAACACTCCACGCTGCCACCTCATGCTGCAACCTTTTCTTGCAGGTCCCACTTGTACTAATAATAATACTAATTAACATTTGTGGAGTGCTTTCAAGAGTACCATTATTTAAAGCCCCGGGAACGCAATACTAATTTCTCTTTCTCTGCTTTTATTTTTTTATGTGCACTTTATACTGTGCAGGTTTTAATTGCTATTTGCATTATCATTATCGTTTTAAAAATCCTTAAAGAGGCGGTGCCAATTTTTCAGAACAGGAAAACTCCGAGTGTCTTTCCCCTCTTTTTTTATAAAATGCTGCTCTTTGTAGAATATATATGTTTAATTCTGCCCTGTTCAGAGCTGATAACCTATACATTTCAAACCGGCATCCAAAAAATAGCTTCTGGCATTGAACAACTGGAGATATTTTTCTAGGTCTGCACGAACATGCACATATCAAATACAGTGGTACCTCAGGTTACATACGCTTCAGGTTACAGACTCTGCTAACCCAGAAATAGTACCTCGGGTTAAGAACTTTGCTTCAGGATGAGAACAGAAATCGTGCTCCAGCAGCACGGCGGCAACAGGAGGCCCCATTAGCTAAAGTGGTGCTTCAGGTTAAGAACAGTTTCAGGTTAAGAACGGACCTCCGGAATGTGTTAAGTTGTGGGTGAACATATCAGACGACACAGCGATTCTTCAAACAGCTCTTGTTTATTCACAGGCCAGGACAGAACTGAACTGAAGGGTTCAATCAGCCTGCTTATATAGAGCTCCAGTACAATGTAACTGTAACAATTTTCTAAAACTATCCAATCACTGAACGTCACTTCCGATCCCTTATTTGCACAACTATCTACAGTATCCCCCTGCTGGCCCAGGGTGAGAACTTCAGTACATAACAGAATGAATTAAGTACTTAACCCGAGGTACCACTGTAATAATAAATGTCTGTATCTTCAGTAAGTCATTTACACCACAAGCCTTCAAACAATGCTGAACCATTCAGATTCCTGTTTTAAACAGTGGCAGGGATAGCAGCATGAAAGAAAGAATCAACCAACCAAGAAGTATGCATGTTATTTACATACGTACATACGTACATACATACAATATTTTTATCTCACTCACTTGCCAGTTTGCCCTTTGCAATTGAGGGTGCCGTGCAACATGCACACATGTGCACAAGATGCGCAATTTGCTGGTGTCACTCCCGCACGCTGTGTGAAATGCCGGCATGTCACCATGCGGTCTGCGCCACTGACATCAGCACAACGCATGGTTGCTGCAGAATTTTGAGGGTGTCTGGCCTTCTCGAAAATTTTGGAAGCCCTTGGCCCCTCAGTCCCCCCTAGATGGCGCCCCTCAACTCACTTATCAGACAATCATGGTCTCCCATAGTGGCTCATATCCGGAGGGAGGGGGAGAGAGACTAGGAATCTGGTTTACTAACCAAATTTAAGAGGCTGCCTTAGGCTGAGCCAGACCACTGGGGCCATCTAGTTCACTTTGGTCTACACTGGCTGGCAGTGACTTCCCAGTGTATCAGAGGGGAGTCTTTTCACAGACCTACCTGAAGATGGCTGGGATTGAACCCGGGACCTTGAGCATGCAAAGCAGATGCTCTACCACTGGGCTATAGCTCCTGCCCAGACAAGACATGCAAATAAAGGGGCATTGAAGGACACAGTGGAACAAGGAGGCTTCTTTTAGACCCAAGCATAGTGGGGAAGTTATTAAGCATTTACATCCAGTTCAGGCCAGGCTGATCTCTCCTTGTGAATGTTCTTATTTGAACAGCAATTGCAGGCTCTTGTTCCCTTGGTCTCTGGATGGGAGCAGGGTTTCCTGTGATCCCAGAGTAATAGGCCCTCGGAACAGAGTGCTGATCCTCTGACATTTCTCCGATGGAAATAGGGACATCTTATTCCATAATAATAATAAAAATTTGTACCCTGCCCATCTGAGTGGGTTGCCCTAGCCACTTTGTGCACCCCCCAGCATATACAAAAACATAATAAAATTTTTAAAACTTCCCCATACAGAGTTGCCTTCAGATGTCTTCCAAAGGTTGTATAGTTACTTATCTCCTTGGCTCAGTGGTTGCATAACTCCATACCCTCCTATGAAAATCGGGACGTCCTACCATACCCTCCAACCTGTCTTCCAATCGGAAGCCGTGCCTTGGTTTTCGAACGGTTTTGGGAGTCAAACGGACTCCCGGAATGGATTAAGTTCGAGAACCAAGGTACCACTGTACATAAAAACATGATAAAACATTAAACATTTTTTTAAAAAACCACTCGCTTCCCTACACAGGATTGCCTTCAGACAGCTCGGGGTTTGGATAACTCCATACCTTCCAACATTTCTCCAATAAAAATAGGGACGTTCTAAGGAAAAGTGGGACGCGAGTGGCGCTGTGGGTTAAACCACAGAGCCTAGGACTTGCCGATCAGAAGGTTGGCAGTTCGAATCCCCGCAACGGGGTGAGCTCCTGTTGCTCAGTCCTTGCTCCTGCCAACCTAGCAGTTCAAAAGAATGCCAAAGTGCAAGTAGATAAATAGGTACCGCTCCAGCGGGAAGGTAAACGTGCTTCCGTGCGCTGCTCTGGTTTGCCAGAAGCGGCTTAGTCTTGCTGGCCACATGACCCAGAAGCTGTCTGCGGAAAAACGCCGGCTCCCTCGGCCAGTAAAGCAAGATGAGCGCTGCAACCCCAGAGTTGCCCACAACTGGACTTAATGGTCAGGGGTCCCTTTACCTTTACCTTTAAGGAAAAGCCCCTTCTGCCCTACGGAGGAGGTAGGGTTGCAGGCTTCACAGCCCCTCCACACGCGTGGTGGATAGAGGCCAGCCCCTGCACGATTGGGGGGATTCCTGGCCGCGGCACCCCCTGGCCAACCAATTGGCCAGTTTAGGGGGTGTGGCCTGCCCTATAAAGGCAGGGCGCGGCCGGGGATCTCCCTCTTTGCTGCTCATCACGGCTTCTGTAAATCTAGGAATGTCCTTGGAAAATAGGGGCACTTGTTCTGTGAGTATTCTTTCAGGCAGGGGACGGGGAAATGAGCTGCCTGCAGTTGCTCCCTCCTTGGCCGATGAACAGGCCACAGTTGGTCTTCCCCTTGCCTTGATGCTTTTCCTGAGAGGCAATCGGTGAAGTCTCCTCCCACTGGCCCTTGGTTCTACCCATCAGTTCTGCAACCCTCAGGCAGCTACTGCTCCTTTTGCAAGATCCTATGACACAAAAAGCACCGTGCACCACAACTTTCATGGGGCTCATACTGCTGTTGCTACATTTACAGACCCTCTAAGTGTCCCTATTTTCCAGGGACGTCCCCGATTTAGAAAAGCCATCCCAGTTTCTGATTTGATCCCAGAATGTCCTGCTTTTCCTTAGGATGTCCCTATTTCCATTGGAGAAATGTTGGAGTTAGCCCATCCCCCCAAGCCGTCTGAAGGCAATCCTATACAGGGAAGTCCCCCCCCCCCCAACGTTTAATGCTTTATTATGTTTTTATATATGTTGGAAGCTGCCCATAGTGGCTTGGGGCAACCTAATAAGATGTATGGGGTATAGGTAGTAAAATGATCATTATGGAATGGGACATCCCACTTTTCATAAGAGAAGTGCTGGAGGGTATGCATTTAAAAGGCATGGTTTAAATGTTGGCAACCCTGTGCCTGATTTAAGGATGCTCAGCGTGGAGCTATTTACAGCATCCTTGCAAAGGAGAACAGAAAGAAATCATTCAGAGTTCGTGGTCACAATTCATCATCATTTGGTACACTTAAGCCTATTGAAATCAACAGGCTTAAGTGTGATTCTGAGCTGGATTGTGGCCAGTTGCTCCATTACCTGGAAAAGCTCATTTTAAAACAAACATTTTAAAATGTATCCATGGTCACTAGAATTGTCAGTCCCCGCCCACACACACACACACACACACAGCCCTGTTTCTTTGCCTGTAATATCAGCCTCACATGTAAAAATATAGCAAGTGGGGCCTTTTTCTCACTCAGATATAAACCGACAGAGAAAGCTTCTGCTGCTTTCTTTCTGCCTGTCCAGCTGCCGACTAAGAGCCAGTGTGGTGTAGTGGTTAAGAGCGGTAGACTCGTAATCTGGTGAACCGGGTTCGCGTCTCTGCTCCTCCACATGCAGCTGCTGGGTGACCTTGGGCCAGTCACACTTCTCTGAAGTCTCTCAGCCTCACTCACCTCACAGAGTGTTTCTTGTAGGGGAGGAAGGGAAAGGGGAATGTTAGCCGGTTTGAGACTCTTTCGGGTAGTGATAGAGCAGGATATCAAATCCAAACTCTTCTTCTACTCTTCTTCTAACAATATACAACACCCTCTTCACATATCTAATGGGCAGGACACTGGTTGATTAAATTTATACCCCATCCTCCCAAAGGAGCCTAGGACTTCTCTGAAGTCTCTCAGCCCCACTCACCTCACAGAATGTTTGTTGTGGGGGAGGGAGGGGTAGGAGAATGGTAGCCACTTTGAGACTCCTTCGGGTAGTGATAAAGAGGGATATCAAATCCAAACTTTTCTAAAGGAGTAGGTAAAACATGTTGGCAATTCACAAAAAGTTGCTCAGATTGACCTGCCAAGCAAACTGGTTTTTTGCATGTTTTTTGGGAGTTGCCTCAGAATCCAAGGCCACATTCACACCATACTTTGAAAGTACTATGATGCCAAGCAGTCATGCCTTCCCCCAAAGAATTCTGGGAACTGTAGTTTGTTAAGAGTGCTGAGACCCCTATTCTCCTTCTGTGGACTGATGTTAAACCACCATGCATAAGAGTCAACTCCTAGGGGCAGAGGGGGCTTCACACACACCCCCAATAAAATATTTGAAGAGACCAGGCCTCTCCAAAGTTGATGGGCATTGTCATTCAAATGGTGTGCATGAACTACATCATGTGACTTATTATATGGAACAGGGCTTACTTGCCCCCCCCCCCAATATTTTATTCAAGTTGGCACCCCTGCCACTATGGGAACTGTAACTCTGTGACGGGAAAAGCAGTCTCCTAACTCTCAGCACCCTTAGCAAACTCCAGCTCCCCAAAATTATTTAGGGGAAGCTAAAGAATTAAGTTGTATTGTAGTGCTTTAAATGCATGTGGCCCAAATTTCTTGGAATGCTATAGGAAATCTGTTGTTATAAAAAGACTGGCTATTTATTGTTAAACACGTCTAAAATACAATTTCTGAATATTTGAAAGGTGCAGTCTTAGATGCTGACTTAGAAATTGTTTTAAATTTATTAGCTGCTGTTAAATTGTGTGTTGCTGCCCGCATTGTTAAAGCTATGGTTTTCCCAGTAGTGATGTATGGAAGCAAGAGCTGGACCATAAAGAAGGCTGATCGCCGAAGAATTGATGCTTTTGAATTATGGTGCTGGAGGAGACTCTTGAGAGTCCCATGGACTGCAAGAAGATCAAACCTCTCCATTCTTCAGGAAATCAGCCCTGAGTGTTCACTGGAAGGACAGATTGTTAAGCTGAGGCTCCAATACTTTGGCCACCTCATGAGAAGAGAAGACTCCCTGGAAAAGACCCTGATGTTGGGAAAGATGGAGGGCACAAGGAGAAGGGGACGACAGAGGATGAGATGGCTGGACAGTGTTCTCGAAGCTACCAGCATGAGTTTGACCAAACTGCGGGAGGCAGTGGAGGACAGGAGTGCCTGGCGTGCTCTGGTCCATGGGGTCATGAAGAGTCGGACACGACTAAACGACTAAACAACAACAAAGTCTGGAGGGTGGGGGAAGACAGTGCCACCAGCAACAGACTAGATTGACTATAACAACATATTTGAAAGTCACATACATAAGGAAAGAGATAAATGAGCAGGATAGCAGATCTATAGAATGATGGTCAATATTTATTACATTTTGGAATGACAAAGTTCAAGTCAACATATATTTTTATAATATATGTTCAATAACTTACTAAGTGTATTGATCATGTATAATATTATTTATATACATATATATACTATGTGTGTATATATACTTATTTGGTTATTGCATCCAAACAAATTCAGTTGTGTAATTTAAAGTGGACCTTGGAGCTCTTGCACAAAAAGCCACTTCTCCACTCCACCACTCAAAATCTGACATTCTGCAACAAAGAAAGCAATGGAAAAATGCACCAGAAAGTGTGGGATAACATTTGCATGATGCAACATTATCTAACCCCCCTGCAATCAAATCAGAATGGATACTCAATAGAAAGCGGGTATTGTCTAACCGGCCCACAAATTTTGCACAAAACAAATTGGGATAAATTATCCAGTCAACAGCTTGTCTGGAAATGGCCCAAGACTTAATATGCAGCATACATTTAAAGCATATTTAAAGCAAATGGCTTCCCCTACAGCAGGCATGGCCAAACTTGTCCCTCCAGCTGTTTTGGGACGACAATTCCCATCATCCCTGATCACTGGTCCTGTTAGCTAGGGAAGATGGGAGTTGTAGTCCTAAAACAGCTAGAGGGCCAAGTTTAGCCATGCCTGCCCTAGAGGATCCTGGGAACTGTAGTTTAACCTGACAAAGCCCCAGCACCCTTAGCAAACTATAGTTCCCTGGATTATTTAGGGGAGTTTATATGTTCTAAATGGTGCATGTGCAGTGAGATGCCTAACTGATGCACATATACATACTTACCTCTTTGAAACAAAAGGAAGCATGCTTTTTGTCTTCAGGAAAAATGTTTTTATGCACGTGCAAATTCAAAACCAATAGATTAAATTGACCAAAAACCCATGCAATGAAATCAATTCAAAGGTCTTTATTGGGGTTATAGTGCTGTTTTGTTCTACTTTTTGCACAATGCCCAGTGTATACTCCCTCCTGAACTACAAATACAGTGGTACCTCGGGTTACATACGCTTCAGGTTACAGACTCTGCTAACCCAGAAATATTACCTCGGGTTAAGAACTTTGCTTCAGGATGAGAACAGAAATTGTGCTCTGGCGGCGTGGCAGCAGCAGGAGGCCCCATTAGCTAAAGCGGTACCTCAGGTTAAGAACAGTTTCAGGTTAAAAATGGACCTCTGGAACGAATTAAGTACTTAACCCGAGGTACCACTGTATACACTAGCGGCAATGATCTCACCGGATGTTTGATCAAATACACGTTTCTCACATCAAAATAACAAGAGCTGAGGGAAGCACGCAGGAAGAAATCCCAGTGGCCTAGACGGAAAAATAGAGAACCCAAAGCAAACCCAAGCAATTGGGTTGCTCTTGTGAGTGACAGTCCTGCGGGGGCACAGCTCTTGAGTAATCTGCCATGGACAAAGAGATACTTGCCTGGCTTCCAAAACCCACCAGAACCTTCAAGAGAGCCATCAGAACTATTAAAAGCCCAGCATCTATCCCAAGGCTGAAGTGGCCAGCCCCAAACCATTCTCCAAAGACTCACCTACATAAGCAGCACACTGCAACGTACCACTCAGATTAAACCACACAAGCTAAAAGTGGCTTCAGTGCACAGAAAGGAACAAGTTGTCGTTAATGGCACATGTTGTTTCAAGGCCTGGATGTGCACTCCTGCAGCATATATCCTTCATTTATTGTTGTTGTTGTTGTTGTTGTTATTTCATTCAATTACACCAATAATCTGATTCCGTATCAGGCAGCAATGCATACATGTGCACACGTCTATGCACCCAGCTGAATGAGGTCACACCTGTGCACATCCACATGGTTTATGAGGGTCGTGGTTGCAGTAGTTGGGCTTAAGACTGCTTCTCAGTGTCAGAGCGGGACAATCCCAGGCAAAACGCAGTGTGTCTTCTCAGAGGACTCCTGCTACAGAGGAGCCAGGGGTGCTCTAGAACTGCCACCCTTTAGGAGCAAGACCCCTGCGCCCACAACATGCTGCGTAACAAAATTATTTGCCTTGACAAGCAGAAAGTCACAGGCACCAGAATGCTGACATTCTGCTGCAAGAAGGAAAAAAACACCATTGTGAGGTTAAATAAAAGCACAAGCAATGCTGCGATGTTGGTTTTCTGGGATATTTTCAAGCAACACCTTTTCTTTCTTTCTTTGCAAATTGAGGACAGCTAATGGTGGAAGGAAATTGCATGACTGAATCCTTCCCCAAAGGGAAGTTTCCCTGCACACAGAAATCTAGTACCTCAGGGAGGAGGATGGACTAGAAGCCCTCCTCTCCCAAACATCACTTTTTAATCAGAGTTGGGTTGTTTAAAAATGCAAGGGCAGGGGACATTCAGTTATGTGAAACTGCCCCTCCTCACCGCAATCTAAAATAGTATAGTATACAGTGGTACCTCAGGTTACATACACTTCAGGTTACATACGCTTCAGGTTACAGACTCTGCTAACCCAGAACTTTGCTTCAGGATGAGAACAGAAATCGTGCTCCGGCAGTGCAGCGGCAGCAGCGGGAGGCCCCATTAGCTAAGTGGTGCTTCACGTTAAGAACAGTTTCAGGTTAAGAAAGGACCTCCGGAACGAATTAAGTACGTAACCAGAGGTACCACTGTAGTACAGTCATACCTCGGGTTACAGACGCTTCCGGTTGTACATCTTCGGGTTGCGCACCGCGCCGAACCCGGAAATATTGGAACAGGTTATTTCTAGGTTTCGGCGCTCACACATGCGCAAAAGTACTAAATTGCACTTTGCGCATGCACAGAAGCGCGAAATCATGACCCATGCGTGCGCAGACACGGCACTGCGGGTTGCGAACTTGCCTCCCGCACGGATCATGTTCGCAACCCAAGTGTCCACTGTATAGCCTATGAACAGACTATGGTACAGTCTAGGAATAGCTTTGCCACCTCATTTGCTATCACAACTAGGCCTTCAAGCCAAAAGGAATCTGAATGATCTACCCCCAAATGTTTTCCAATATAGACTACTTGAAAATTGCTGAGGGTTTGAGTGGACCACTTAATTATCTTTCTGCCTGATGTAGCAGTTGTAATGAGCTGTGCCATGTAATAAAATAAAAACAGCCTGCTGGAACATAACAATGGCCCATCTAGTGTCATGTAGAGGTTAGCCTGGGAGACAAGGGTTCAAACCCCCCACTCAGCCATGAAGTTCACTGGGTGACCTTGATCCAATCACTGCCTCTCAGCCTGACTTACCTCACAGGGTTGTTTGTCTACTTATTCATTTATAAAATACTGCTGTATCATAAATACATCATAGCAGTTTACAATATAAAACCATAAAAAGTTAAAAGCAAGCCAAAAGCAAAAGAATTAAAAAATAACATCAGAACCCCACAGTAGGGGGATGTACTCTGAAATGCCCACATAGAAGAGTTTTCAGTAGGCATTTAAAAGTTGGCACAGAAGGTGCCCGGTTACATTTTATTAAATTGTCAAAAATTTCACATGTACACTCCAATACATAATAATTTTTTCTTTTGTTTTGCAGACTTCCCACCCCTTTCCCATGCTGTTTTTTAATTTATCCCCTCCTTGCTGCACCCTATCGTCTCACTCTTATAACATAACACTCCTGTAATCTCCCGATTCCTTCTGCCACTCATAGTTCAAATCCTGCTCACAGACAAACCTGATCTACTCTGATAGCTTGCAGATAAATACAGTTGTAAATCTATGAATGGGGAGGTTTTGGCCCTCAAAGCATTGTCAGACTCCCCAAGTCCCATCAGCTCCAGCTGACATGGTCAGACCACAGAAGATGTAGCTCAACAACTTCTGCAGTCACAAAGTCTCGCCCATCTTTGTTTCAGATAAAGGTTCTTCTCCAGCTACGTGGCCCAACCTGGTGCCCTTCAGGTGATGCTGGACTGCAGCTCCCATCAGCTTTGGCTGATGTCAGCTTAGTCAGGGAGTTGTAAGTCCAGAGATGTGAAGAGCACCCAGTCAGGAAGGCTGCCAAACATACAGTACTTCACTTATAGCTCCAAAGCAGGCATAGGCAAACTCCAGCCCTCCAGATGTTTGGGACTACAACTCCCATCATCCCTAGCTAACAGGACCAGTGGTCAGGGATGATGGGAATTGTAGTCCCAAACATCTGGAGGGCTGGAGTTTGCCTATTACTGCTCCAAAGGCTGGCATCACTGGGGCTGTCAATGCTGACCGCCTGTTCGAAGGAGATATGGAACTTCTGCCAGCTCCCTCTTCTACTGCTAAATAGGCAATTGGCCGGATCAGGGATAACAAAGCTGACCTTAAAAGATCAGGTTGCACTTGTGATTTTCTGATCCAGCTGTGCTGACCATGAGTAACACACCAGCATATGCAAGTGTGATACATGGATTGCAACAAAAAAGTACACATTGAGGAGCTTTTTTATGATACAGGTACATTTCATATGGGACGCAAGTGGCGCTGTGGGTTAAGCCACAGAGCCTAGGACTTGCCAATCAGAAGGTCGGAGGTTCGAATCCCCACGACGGGGTGAGCTCCCGTTGCTCAGTCCCTGCTCCTGCCCACCTAGCAGTTCGAAAGCACGTCAAAGTGCAAGTACATAAATAGGTACTGCTCTGGTGGGAAGGTAAACAGCGTTTCCGTGCGCTGCTCCGGTTCGCCAGAGCGCTGCTGGCCACATGACCCGGAAGCTGTATGCCAGCTCCCTTGGCCAATAAAGCAAGATGAGCACCACAACCCCAGAGATGGCCACGACTGGACCTAATGGTCAGGGGTCCCTTTACCTTTACCTTTCATATAGTACACACAACAGGTCTTTGATATCAAAGCAGCCTTAACTGCAGCAAACTCAAGATGCAAACTTCAAAAAAAAACTTTATCAAAACATAGGAAAGGGGGAACAGGAATCCTAGCCACTCTGGGACATTCTCCCCAAAGCCAAAAACTCATTTCATTAGGTCCCAAAAGCTACTCCTAAAATGAATGTGACCTACCATCCCCTGTTGTGACCCTCCAGGCAAAAACTCAGCCCACCAGTCATACATTGTGCTCTGCCACGGGCTTGGCAACCCCTCGGTTTTCAGCCTGATGGGTCAAATGATGTCGCAAGCAGCGTCAGGCCTGCAGTCTGCACACACAGAAAGAATGGAAGTTAATATGGGAAGCAATTGGGGCCACTTCACACAACAGGAGACACTTATTTGCAAGGTTAGGATACACTTATTTTGCAAGGTTGCAAATGCAAGTTTGTTGCATTCTAAGGATCACACTCAAAGCTTCTTCTGAAACACTTCATTTTTAAAAAAGAAAACCAAAGGGGACTTTTCTGAGAGTGAGGATTCACCGAGGCTCCTTGCCAAACTTAGACTTGGTGGCAAACTCAGGTTTTCCCCCAGGCAATGTGCGGAACATCCCTGATAAAGACTTTCCGAAGCAGTAACCTCAGATCAAAGAGACATTGCCTTCTCCCCACCATAAAAGAACGCAATAAAACAACCACCAAAATCTAACCACAACACCAGATGCTTTTCTGTAATATTTTATTTATATAGAAATACTTAAAAAAACATGAAGTAGCACCATTACTTAAGTTTTACCTTTATTATGTAGAACTTTAAATGTCAGAAAAATAAAACTCTTGATACAATTTCAAATCTTGTCTCAGCAAATATAATATTAGTATCTGACCATGAGGTTAAAGGCCCTTTATCATAAAATAAAATATACTTTGTTTTTAAACTTTGCTCAGTAAAGTACATTTAAGATCAAGTAACATCACCTACATATACATAAACAAGTGGTAAACAAATGTATTAAAATAGAAATACTAAACTATAGTGGTGCAACAGAATTTTTTTGTAATTTCCACTGAATTCTATTTATACAAATGTTAGAAAGCATCAACAGTTCCTTTTGACTTATGCTTAAACGCTTCCATTTTTTGTAATAATATAGAATAAAATATGCTTTATATCACTGAATAGAAAATATGCTGGGTGAAGCAGATTTAAAAGATTTCTTTTTTTCTGAACCTATAAAAAATCTCCATCCCAACAGAATACTGTTCAAAGTATTACACATTTTATGGTTTTGCAATTCCATTCACAATTGTGTGATAGTAAAATAATACAGTGTTCTTCGCCATAAGGCCATACCAAAAAATAAAAAAGATTTAACCCAGCTACAAAAAAGTTCACTGAACTTAAATTAAAATACTTGTAAACATCTTTGCAATATGAAATATAATTTTTCAAGTCAAAAAAGAATAAAATACTTCAATCTGTATTAATGCAATTTATCTTTAAAACCTTTAAACGTTTTAATATATATAAGAGATATGTTACAGTTTCCTTTTTTTCTTCTTTTTTTCTTTGATAAAGCTGCAGTATCATAAGTTTATTATTATTATTATCATTATTATTATTAAAAATTCACAGGAAAAAATCTTGCCCTTTCGAGAACATTCAAGAAAAGTTATCCATCCATAGTTATTTCTCAATAAGCAATCTACCAACTACCAGCACATTATACTAACTGTTCACACGCCATCATAATCCATATGCATTTCCTATTTTAATTTGGGGGGGGGGAGGGAGAAAAAGAGAAGAGAGAAAAGAGAGTCCGAGAGAGAGAGAGAGAGAGAGAGAGAGAGAGAGATCATTTGATTTGGAAGCTTGGCCTTAAGAGAAAGTGTAAAAACTAGTCTATTACTAGAATGTCGTTCCTTAATATTTATAGCATGCACCAGGTGTCACAAACATCCCCCTTAAACCCATTCCTAAGCTACGGCACACTCAAGAATGCAAGGAAACAAAAACAGAAGTTATTTTTTCAAAAAGCAAGATGGTCACCATCCTGCAAAACGTCAGGTTCCCCCACCCCACCCCGTCCCCCCGTCTGTTATTATTTATATTATTTTTGGGATGTGCGGATACTGCAGCTTTAAAAGCTCGACACAGATATTATATATATTTATATGCATGTATATAGGCAAGTAGAAGACCTTTTGAAGAAGAGGAGGTTGCTTGTCTGTGTGGGGGGGGGAGAGAGAGAAAGAGGGAGCATAGGAGCCAACTCTGAGAGGTCGAGGTCCCTTTGCCCCCCCAATAAAGTATTTGAGGGAGCTGGGCCCCCCAAAAGTTTATGGGGTGCATCACAGGAGCCAACTGAGGGGTCTTTGCCCCCCATAAAATAATTGATGGGGGCGGGCCCCCTAAAATTGGTGGGCATTGCCCTTCAAATGGGGTGCATGCACCGCATCATGTGATCGATGACGTGGGGCGGGGCTTGCCGGGGCCCCCAATATTTCATTCAAGTTGGCACCCCATGCCTTGCGATCCATTATGCAGGGTGCAGCTGGCCTGGCACACGTCTACACCCATTTTTAAATTCAAGTTGGCACCCATGAGAGGGAGGGAAGGAGGGAGGGAGGGAGGGAGGGGTCGCGGTTTGGGGACCCTTAGGAAAAGATCCGGATGGCCTGAGTGACGGCGCTGTGGCACACGGGGCACTGGGGCTCCGTCTTCTCGCAGATGCGGTTGGCACACTCCATGCAGAAGAGGTTGTGGCCGCAGGGCACCAGCGCCGCGATCACCTCGCTCTCGAAGCACACGGAGCAGTCGCGGCTGCCTTTCCTCCGCAGCCCCGACGACGAGCACGACGAGCTGGAAGAGGAGCTGGAGGAGGAGGACGACGACGCCGACGAATCCGACGGCAGGCCCGGCAAGTGGCAGCCCAGCCCGTTGGCGTACAGAGGGTAGGAGCAGGGCGACGACGACGACGGGGCGGACGGCGAGGAAGCGGCTGCAGCGGCCGCGGCGGCAGCAGCAGCGGCGGCCACGGCGGCGGCGATGAGGCGGCCGCCCGGGTCGCTGCGCACCCGCCGCGCCAGCGGGTGCTGCTCCAGCGCCACGCCTCCCGCCCCGACGTGCAGAGGCGGGGAAAGGCGCGTGGGGGAGGAGGAGGCGGGGGCGGAGGCGGCCCGGCGCCCCGCCTCTGCCCTCCGCTGCTCACCAGCAAGGCCAGGTTGGCGTTCGACGGAGGCGCGCCGCCGCCGCCGCCACCGGCGGGAAACGCGACGGCTCCGGGCGACGAGGGCCCGCGCTCGAACTGCGACCAGAGTAGCGGCGCGCCGGGCGGAGGCGCCGGCGCCAAGTCGAAGCCGGGCGGGGAATCGAAGGGCGGCAGCTCGGAGGCGCAGCAGTCGGGCGACGAGAGCACCTCGCCGCCGCCATAGACGCCGTAGCCGTTGTTGTTGTTGTTGCCGTTGTGGTGCGGGAAGCTGAGCGACGGGCTGGGCGGGCTGTAGTCGGCCAAGCGGGCGCTGCTGCTGCCGCCGCTTCCTCCGACGCCATTGCCGAAGTACGAGTCGGTGGAAGCGCTGCCCAGCGAGCTGGAGCTGTCGTTGCGGTAGCTGCAGAAGGGCTTGCGGCCCGGCGTCGGGGTGATGCTGGAAGAGGAGGGCGGCGGAGGGGGCGGCGGAGGAGGAGGGGGCGGCGGCGGAGGGGGCGGCGTGGGCTTGCTCCAGAGGCTCCCGGCGCCGCCGGCGGCCAGCTCGAAGCCCACGTCGGTGCCGTTGGCGTGGAAGTCGTTGTCGTCGGTGAGCTCGATGATGCCGCCCGTGCGCATGGCGATGTGCGCCTCGATCTCCTCCCGCGCGCGGTCCACGTTCTCCGGCATGCCGGTCACCTCGAAGACGGGCTCTTTGTCGCGGCTGGGCGTCACGATGTAGGTGTGCGTTTGCTGCTGGATGCGCTTGATGGTGGCCCCCTTGGGCCCCACCACCAGGCCCACCACCCGGTAAGGGACCCGCACTTGGATGGTGGTTTGGCCCGGCAGGTTGGGCGGGCTGGGCACCGTGCCGTTGAGCACGGTGTTTTTGTTCCGGGAGGCGCGGATCATGGAGAAGTGTTCCGCCGCCGAAATGATCTCCCTCCGGGCCATGGCCACATCTTCCTTCCTGCCCGTGACAACGAAGAGCGGCTCCTCCCCGCGGACCGGGGTCTTGATGTAGGTGTTGGTTTTGGCCCGCAACGCTTTGATTTTACAACCTGAGATAAGGCGGGGGGGAGGGGGAGGGGGAGGGAAGGGGAGGGGAGGGAGGAAAAAGAGGAAGGAAACACGGTTACATCTACTCCAGCTTTTCGGGGTGCAGCAACTGAACGAGGGGAGCGGGCCACCAAGCCAACCTGCCTCTTGGTCCAACATTTCATCCACGTCGAGTTCCATTTGCAAGTCATCACAACCATGCCAGCTTTTTGACACAGGAACACACCCATCTCCGCACCTCGAACCAACCAATATTCCCATTGGCCAAAACAAACAAACAAAAAAAAGGCCCAAAACGTTATTTGCCCAGGATCTCGGAGATACTGTAATAAGTTGCAGGGGGGTGGGGCGGCAGAGAGACAACAATACCAAAACACCTCCCCACACCCAACGCAACCACGCTATGAGACGCCAAGTGAGCGGCCACATTTCATCCATCGCAAGCGGGCAACCCAAATATGCAACGCCCCCTTTTATATATATATATACAATAAAATTAATAAATCCACACTCGTGCTCCGCACATTCCAGGGGAGGGGAAGGGAACCTGGGGAAGGGGGCTGGGGGGGAGGGTGGAAACAAGCCCGACGGGGATGACATACACAGACACACCGAGAAATACAAAAAGGTACCACCACCAGCAGCAGCAGCAGCCCTCTTGAAGACACCCGCTTCGTAATGCAGATGCTTTGAACCTAACCCCCCCCCCCATTGTTCACCTCCTTGCCGTTGCCTGTAAGGAAACACCCATCGATTCCTAACTATTGACAAATAAAAGGCGCGCGCACTGACCAGCATCCGCTTGCATTTTTGCGCACACAGAATCAAATCAAAAGGGGTTTTTTTAGGGCATAAAAGGGGGAGGGGTTGTGCTGCGAGATGAGGCGCAAACATCTGGATGCGAAAGGCGTCCTCCACCTCTGCTCTGCTTCACTTTCTTTGTCTAGAGTGGAAGTGGCGGCGGGGGAGGGAGGGAGGGAGAGAAGGGTGTCGAGAAGAGGCGGCCAGGTTAGCCATCATCACAAGCCTGCAATTTGGACTCGAGGGGGCGAGCCGTGTTGGCATCTCGGAGGCAAAAGGCACCCACAGAAACCCAGGGAGGAGACAGCAGCTAGAGAGAAGCAGCAAAAAACCTCCCCTCGATTCCCACCACACATCTCTCTCTTACACCACACACACACAAAGACGATCGAGCCAAGCCCCCACCTTGCCTGCCCACGATCTCGGCGACATGCTCCGAGCTGGGCACCGGGACGCATTCGGTCATGTTCACGCTCTTCTTGCGCGGCTCGTTGTCGTAAAGGGAGCCCGTCTCGTCGTTGTCCAAGCCCAGCAGGGAGAGCTGATCCAAAGCGATCTGAAGGGCTCTTTGGTCATCCAGGGTCTCCCCGCCTCCTCCTCCTCCACCGCCGCCTCCTCCGCTCCCATTCCTCTCCATGTCGGCAAACAAGGAGCTGGGCATAGTCCCGGGTGGATGTGGGGGGATCGCGCCCTCCGCTTCCTTTCCCTCCTGCGCTCTCGGATCAGGAGTGGGGGGCGGGGGTGGGGAGGGAGGGAAGCAGGGAAGGGAAGCAGCACCAACGCACACACACCAGGAGAAGGGGGGAGGTGGAAAGCAGACACAAAGGAAACAGCCAAGGCAGATGGCCAGCAAACGGCAGACGAGGAAGCGGTTGGAGAAGCCCGGCAAGCAGATCCTGGATGCTGGCTCAGAACAAAACAAAACGGGCAAAAATGCTCAGATTGTAATTTCCTTGCGCGCCGCTTTAAAAAAAAAAGAGAAGAAGCCCCCCCAGTGCAATCCGGTTTATAAGATGCTTTCCAAGAAAATGAGGAAAAATACCCCACCACGACTCCCCCCAAGCTTTTCCCTTTTTCTTCTTCTTCTTCCTCCTCCTCCTTGGGGGGGGGGCGCGGGGGGGGGGCGTGCAGAGAATAGAGAGAAGCGCTCCGGTGCTTTTGGCTCCCCCCCTTGAGTTCCTTTGCTGGCCGCGATGGCAGGCGTTTCTTTAAGGAGCCCCTCCCAGCTTCCACTCACTCAGCGATTTCTCTCTCTCTCTCTCCCTCTCCTCCTCTCCCCCTTTCTTTCTCTCTCTCTCTCTCGCTCGCTTTCTCCTCCTCCTCTTTTCTGTCTGAGCCTCTGCTGCAGCCAGACAGCGCTGGGGAAAGGGGAGCGGGGGAGGGGAGGAGAAATCAGAGCGCCGCAGCGTAAGCGGCCGGGAAAAGCGAGCGAGCCGAGGGGAGCCGCCGACAGCGCCGCTGGAGGAGCCGATTGGCCGGGCCCGGCGGAGGGGGGCGGGCCGGCTGGGCTGCTTGGCCCCGCCCCTCTAAGGCAAGGCTCCTTTTCTTTGTTGTCTAATGCAGAACAATAAAGGAGGGGGGGTGAAGAGAGAGAGAGAGAAGATCCAGAAAGAAAGAAAGAAAAAGCAACCCTGTCGATCTGTCTATGTCTACATAGAAAATCTTCCGCGCATTCATCAAGTCAACGCGGACACAACATGACACTTAATGGCTCTTGCGGCATTGCAAACGGAGCGCTTGCAAACCCGTTTCCCATCCGGAAAAGGGGGTTCGTTTCTCCTCGTTCCCCAAGGGATCTCTCTCTATCCATTCGGGGTGCGGTGGTTTTTACGCAGGGATGATAAAATGCTGGTCCCGGGTGATGGGTGGAGGGAGGGAGGGACATTTGCGCCGGCCCAAGGAGCCACGCGCGGCGCTTCCTGCGAGCAGCACCGGCAGCAGAGGGGAAGGCAGGAGGGGTGTGGCTTGGGCTGACAGTGTCCCTTTAAAAAGAAAAAAAAGAGGGTGCCTAACCTTCCGATGGAAAAAAAAAGAGGAACAGTCTAAACTGCAGCAGAAAGGGGTTTTAATTGCAACCGGGGAAACCCCTGTGTCCTGCCCCCCTCCACACACACACACACACGCACACCTTTACTCCTTTTTAATTTGGATGCCTGCAACGGGGTTTGTGGGTGTGTGTCAAGCGATAACCTCTGAGCATGTGCAAAGTGGCGTGCGCTCTCCCCGCTCGCATTCGGGGGCGTTGGATGGGAGAGGTTTCCAGGTCAGAGGGGCGTGGCCTCTCCAGGGGGACTTGACAGGTCAGAGGGACGCCTTCTCTCTCTCTCTTTCTTTCTTTCTGCAAACATAAACTGCGGCGCGGCGCAAAGAACGCTCAACTTGGACTGCGTGCTCGCACGTGCACACGTGCACAAAAGAAAGGCGAGCTGCGATCGCGGGCTGGCCTGAGGAGCGCGCGTCCCGAGCAAAACAAATACCTCCAACGCAGCCGCTTGAAACCGCGGGCACGCCCATCCTTAGTCCTTTGCAGCGACAAAAAATGCGAGAAAAACCCTTTGCGCCTCATACTAGTCATTTCTGGCGAGCGCTTCTTTGTTGTTAACCAGCAAAGATTCTCAATTTGCAAAGGGGGGGGGGAGGCGGGAAGCATCCCTAACTCTCCTCCTGATTGGAAGAGTGCCTTTCTGCGCTTGCGCCCCGAAGGGTGTTTTGTATTTATTTTATTTTATTCTTTCCCCGCGCCTGCGCACAGGTCGCCTTCCTCTCCCACCGTTTTAGGGTTTGTACGGACGGAGTGGGAGGGATGCGCGCTGCTTTCCATTCAAGTCGCTGGCGGAGGAGGGGGTGTGGCTTCCTTTGCCGGAGCTTCTGGCTCCGCCTTTGGAAGCCACGTGCACTTTGGGCTGGCAAAAAGGAGGGAGGAGCCTTTTGGGCAGGGAAAGGGGCGGGGCCTTAGCGACACTTTGTAGCCTGGAGCAGACAAAGAATGCCGGCATCGCGCAGTTGCAGAGCATAGTGCCTTCTCTCCGCAAGCGTCGGATGGTGAACGACTCGCGCTCGCTTCTGGATTAAAGATGGGGACACGCCTGAGCATCTCATCCCTGGAGAATATTTGCCCTTAGGAAGGGCTGAGCTGCAGCTTTTTGTATCTGCATTATCTAGTTAACAGATGCATTTCACGAAGTCCTTTGCTGCCTTCTCTGACGGTTCAAAATGACAAGTGTTTTTGCATGCAGGCAGAAGGTCCCTGGTTCAGTCGTGGCCAGCACCAGAAAAGGGCTATGGAGGATCCCTGCCTGTCAGAGTTCCCAGGATTAATAATAATAATTTATTTTTTATACCCCGCCCATCTGGCTGGGCTTCCCCAGCCACTCTGGGCGGCTTCCAACCAAATTTTAAAATACAGTAATACATCAAACATTAAAAGCTTCCCTAAACAGGGCTGCCTTCAGATGTCTTCTAAAAGTTTGGTAGTTGTTGTTCTCTTTGACATCTGGTGGGAGGGCATTCCACAGGGCGGGTGCCACTACTGAGAAGGCCCTCTACCTGGTTCCCTGTAACTTGGCTTCTCGCAGAGAGGGAACCGCCAGAAGTCCCTAGGCGCTGGACCTCACTGTCTGGGCAGAACGATGGGGGTGGAGATGCTCCTTCAGGTATACTGGACCGAGGCCGTTTAGGGCTTTAAAGGTCAGCACCAACACTTTGAATTGTGCTGAATTCTTTATATAAATAAATAAAACCTAAATGTGTGGAACCAGTTGCACAGAAAAGCAATCCAAGAAAACGCATTTGCAGAGGGGTAGATGTGTTCAGCTGTTATCGCGAAAACTAAAGCTCTTGTGGCACCTTGAACGAACTGGCATCTTTATTCTTGGAGTAAGCTTCCATAGACTGTACTCTGCTTCCTCAGACGTGTTAGAAGCCCTTTCTGTCTAGCAACTGGGAATAAATGGTTCTTTTAAGACTGGTGTGGCTAACCCTTTTTGCCCTGGCGGGGCATATTCACCCTTAGCCAATCGTCTGTGGCCTGTATGCCAGTAGAGGGTGCGGCTAAACATCTTGAAATATACTTAGAGTCAAGAGTGGATTTCATGCTCTTTATTCAGCTCATAGTAGTGAGGAAGAATGGAAGTTCCCCCAGAATGTCTGCTTTATCTACATTATTTACACAATGGGCCCCACGTGATTGGCTAGTTCTGGGATTCACCTGTAGGCCAATCAGGTTGCGGATTCACTTCCACCTGGAGCTGGATTAGGTGGCTCCTGTGGACCAATCAGACTGCTGCATTCTGAATCCTATTGTTCTAGGACCAATCAGACTGCTGCCTTTTGGATCCTATTCAACTCAGTACATAACACATCTGGTGTAGCCAGATGTTGCTGGACTAGAACTCCCACCATCCCTGACCATTGACCATACTGGCAATGGAGGATGGGGGTTGGAGTCCATGTGGACAGCACCATGTTGGCCAAGCCTGGCGTGGCCATTCCATGTACACACTCCTCTTGCAGGCACAGGTACCCAGCCAGACCCCCTCAGCTGGTCCATGCCCCCTTCCCACTCAGAAGATGATGGAGCTGGTAAGCAGGGACTGGGCAGTCTGCATCCCCATCATGGTGCTAGACTGAGCAGAGGTGCTTAAAAGATTCAAAATTTCTTGGGGAGACAGATCTGGGATGTACTACCCCTTTTCTAAGACTATCACTTAGGGTTGCCATATTTCATAAAGTAAACAATCAGGACACCTGAAAGTTACTGAGTGTTTTTTTTAAAGAAAAACCACAAAATTTTGAAATTGCTGGGGAAATTCCCCAGGACACCACTTCCACCTTTTAAATCCCGACATGTGGCAGCTCTACTATCACAACTACAAGATGTGTGGGAATCACCTACAAACAACTTGTGCTTCTTTCTTTAGAAATATTGCCTTAATCACATGCAAGCTTATGTACATTCATGTACATTTTTAACAATAGATTCATTTACTTTCACAAGTACTCAATTTACATTTCTGAAATGGGCTCCAGTCCTACTTTTAGAGTTTGCAAGGGTATTACCTATACTATGGCAACCCTAAGTGATAAGATTCCAAGATCCCGTTCACAATGAGAGATACCACTGTAAAAGGATACATTCTACTCATGTAAAAACACGCTGATTCCCGGACTGTCCGCGGGCCGGATTTAGAAGGCGATTGGGCCAGATCTGGCCCCCGGGCCTTAGTTTGCCTACCCATGAGTTAGTGAGAACCACTGAGTTAGATGAACTACCCTCGTTAAGGTAGTTTGGTTGCGAAGGGATAAAAGGCCTCAACTGAGTGCCAGACTTTGTTGGAACAAGTTGGCCTCTGGGAGCTATCAGAGGCTTAATCCACACTGTACAGTTATATTGATTTGATATCACTTTGTTTAGCTTGCTGGGACTTGTTAGGAGACTCCTGTCCCTCTCATAGAACTACCATTCCCAGAGTTCCCTGGGAAGATGAATCGACTGATAAGCCAGTCTGGGAAGAAATATGCAGTTTGTTATGGGTGGTGAGAATTGTCACTGTGCGCTGTGAAACTACACTTCCCAACATACTTTGTAGGACGTTGTGTGCTTTAAATGCACACTGAATGTTCTTTAAAAGTATGGTGTGGATCTGCAGATAGAATGACGGTCACTTTTTATGATGTTTTGGAATAACAACTTGAAATATACTCGGAATCGAGAGTGGATTCCATGCTCTTTATTCAGTTCATAGTGGTGAGGAGGAATGGAAGTTCCCCCAGAAGGTCTGCTTTATATACATTATTTACACAATGGGCCCGTCGTGATTGGCTAATTCCGAGGTTCACCTGTAGGCCAGTCAGGTTGCAGATTCACTCCCACATGGAGCTGGATTGGGTGGCTCCTGTGGACCAATCAGACTGCTGCATTCTGGACCCTAGTATTCTAGGACCAATCAGACTGCTGCATTCTGAATCCTATTGTTCTGGGACCAATCAGACTGCTGCCTTTTGGATCCTATTCAACTCAGTACATAACACAACTTCTGGCATAATATACACCCATATAGTTTGTTTACAATGAACTTAGTGATCATGCATGTTATATGTATGTATATTTTCAGTACTACGTTAATTCATTTTATAGTAATTTGAGTTATGTTTCTGTTTGCTTGCAAAGTGACAATTGCAGTGGTGGTGCTGCTGGCTCTTATAGTCCCCACTTGATTTTTCTTTACTGTAAAGAAAATGCATTACTTAGTCGAAAAGATTTCTAGCATTTAAGTTTCACAGCAGGCAATTGTCGGTCCACTGCCTGTACATGTAAGCATTATGCACTTGCAAGTAATTGTTTATGATAGTTGCAACCTGTTGTTCTTTCCTCAGGATGTTGCCATGTTTTACAAGGTTCCAGCCCGCTGCTTTCCAAAGAAGACATCTCATCAGCCAAGGTAGCCACGTTTACCCTTGCCTGCCCCCCTCTGGCTGGTTGTTCTGGCAAATTCTGAAATAATCATTACAGTTTTTTAAAAATTAAAAAAAAAGGTTTGCTTTGCTTATCAGCAGGTTTTCCATCCTCAAAATGGTTAGTTTTGCTTATCAGCAGATTGTGTACAGTGGTACCTCAGGTTACAGACGCTTCAGGTTACAAACTCCGCTAATC